TTTTTTTCCTCTTTTTTTGCAGTGAAATATTTTAGTTCTTTCATATAGAGACATATTACACAATGTTAACAACCATGAAAAACAATACAAAATGCCCTCGATTTAACAAGTAGAAAAATATAACTAGTATATATGGCCATTGTGAATCTAATACTGTACAGAAGGAATTTATGGATTTTACAAATAAATTATAGCTTAAATGCCCTTTTAAAATTCTCTCTTTCCCCTTAGATGTACACCCGAACTTACAAGAAGAAACGTTCCGAGCCTAGCTGGCGGCCAGTCAGTGCCAGTCAAATGTTCTGCCGACCAGCTCGAAGAATTTCTTATTAGGCTCGTGGAAATAGTCATGCAGTTTATTGAGGAGTTTGGGGTCGACGTGAGGGTGGGCCCGGCCTTTGGACTCGTGCAGGCAGCGGTCCCGGCCGCTGTCCCGCAGGCAGTAAAAGCCCTTGGTTTTGTTGAAGTAGAAGTTGGAGGGGTGAATCTGCGGCGCCAGCTTCAGGAACCTCTCGACCTTCTGGATCTCCGGGAAGGGGTCCCTGATGAGCTGGTCGCCGTCCACGATGTGGATGTGGCGCAGCGGGAAGAAGCGCAGCCAGTTCTGCATGTGCTCGTGGTAGAGGCTGCGGTTGAGTGCCTTGTAGTCCACGTTCAGGCGGCCGTCGCGCACCAGCACCTCCTCGACGGCCGGGTAGGGCTTGCGCTTCTGCACGTGGTTGTAGAACACTTGGGTGTAGTCGGACAGCACGCGCTCGGACGGGTCTCGCAGGATGAGCAGCAGGCGGATGGCTGGGTTCATGCTGTGGACTCGCGCAGGCACTTGGGGCGACGTGAAGTAGGCGGGGGTCTTCTCCACCGTGAGCTGGTGGGGCGCCGACAGGGGCATCTGGCTGAGGTACCAGCCCAGGCCGTGGCTGTAGTGCTCCTCCCAGTCGAAGAAGTGCACCTCGTTCTCGGCCGCCGCCACGTCGGGGTGCAGGCTGAGCATCTCCAGCAGCGCCCGCGTGCCTCCCTTGCGCACCCCGATGATGATGGTCTGCGGCAGCTGCCGGAGCGAGCCGTTCGGGGCCGCGCTGTCCGGCAGG